CAGCGTCTTCAAGACATGAGACAGGCGCATGGCGAGTCCTTGAAAAGCTTCCTATCCCGCTTCACCGACGAGATGACCTACTGTGTGCAAGTCACCGACAGGGAAGCACTATCTGCATTAAGAGGAGGATTGAACATGAACACCCTATTCTGGAGGGACGTGCAGAATCAGGACCCAACCACCTATGACGCCCTACTAGAAATGATGAGAAGAGAGATAATCAATGAAAAATTGATTGAGCATAGAAACAGGGCAAGCAGGGGCCTCCCACCTCCACAGAGATAGCGAGGTAGGGGGCCGACCTCCCACCTCATGGACTACCAGATGAACCGATCTGGAAATGAGAACTCCGGCCAAGCCCTGGCCACCACAACTCTGAACGCGGTACCAACCTTGGCGTATGAGGATGTCAACCCAACCACTGACCCACATCAGCTACAGGCGCATCAGGGACCCCGTAGAGGGAGAGGCCGAGGTCGAGGTCTAGGTTTTGCACCTAGAAATAGGTCCAATCCGAACCTCCCCTGATACTGTTTGCCCCATAGGTCCTACGGGCACGACACCGCGGATTGCAGAGACTATGCACACCGCTCGCGGCAGGAACCCGCCAGGAAAAGACATAACTCGCCCTAAGCCAACAGGCCCCCACCCAGGCAAGACAACCGACATGGGCGTGAGGCGGCCGCTCCTATCCAAAGGGATGTTTCCCCAAGGCGAAGAGAGCAAGACACGGAGAGGCCCAGGGAAGGGCGTAGACACCGAAGGAACAGGCAAGCTCAAGATGAAGCCCCTATCCACGAGATAGATACCATATTTGCAGGCCCTTACGTTGGCGGTGAAACGCGAAACGCCAAAAGAAACTACGCTAGGGAGGCTAAGCACCCCCCTCTGACAAGTTACATTGTAGATAATAGCTCCCGAAGAAACCAAGCACCACCCATTGTCTTCACCCAGGAAGACGCCAAAGGAGTTCATTACCCCCACTGCGATGCGCTGGTAGTGAGGGCGGTCATAGCCCGAAATGGGCTCAAACGAATGCTTGTCGACAATGGCAGCTCCGTCAACATCTTATTCGGGTCCGCCTTTGACAAGATGATATTGGACCATCAGTTGACACCCACCACCACTCCATTGTACGGATTTACCGGAGATAGCATTACCCCAAGAGGAAAGATAACACTGGTAGTGGAGATGGGAGAATCTCCTCAAACTACGATGAACTTTATGGAGTTCCTCGTAGTCGACAGCCGGTCGGCTTACCACGGGGTCTTGGGCAGACCGGCCCTAAAGGAATTGGGAGCATTCACCTCCATCCACCACCTATGCATGAAATTCCCAACAGAAAATGGGGTGACAACGGTGAGAGGCGACCAGAGAGGTTCGCGAGAGTGCTATCTGAGCTCCATTAAGAAGGTGGAGCCCCGAGACGTCCATGTGATCGTGGCTGATGTGGTTATGACGGATGTCCCAGGTGACGCTCCCACTGACCAGGAAGATGTTGATATGATTGACGCACTCCTCGTTCAGGAGGCGCTGATCGATGAGATCGACCCCCGCATAATGGAACATGAGCCCCAAGCATCCCCCGTAGAGGAACTTGAGAGCTTCTCAGCCGACCCTCGAGATCCGTCCAAGGTGCTGAAAGTAGGCAGGGGCTTATCCGACATTTTGAGAGAAAAGATTAAAGATTTTCTAGGCAAGAACCTGGACGTCTTCGCCTGGAAACATGAGGACATGGTTGGCATAGACCCCAAAGTCAGCTGTCACCACTTGAAAATCGACCCCAATTTTACCCCGCATAGACAAAAAAGGAGAGCCCTCAACCCAGAGAGGTATGAGGCCCTGAAAGAAGAGGTTCAGAAACTAATCCAAAATGGCTTCATCAGGGAGGCCACCTACCCAAAGTGGGTGTCCAACCCGGTCTTGGTTAAGAAACCCAATGGCAAATGGCGAGTGTGCTCGACTTCACCAACCTTAATAGAGCTTGCCCGAAAGATAGCTTTCCGCTTCCAAGGATTGACCAATTGGTGGACTCCACGGCTGGGCATGAGTTATTGAGCTTCATGGATGCATACTCCGGATACAACCAGATCCCCATGCACCCGGCTGATGAGGAGCACACCTCTTTCATCACGGATCGAGGCCTCTATTGCTATAGAATGATACCTTTCGGGTTGAAAAATGCCGGAGCAACTTACCAAAGACTCGTGAACAAAATGTTCGCCGACCTCATTGCCAAGACAATGGAGGTCTACGTGGATGATATGCTAGTGAAAAGCTTAGAGGCAGAAAGCCACGTATCGCACCTCAACAACACCTTCCAAATCCTGAGAAGGTACAGGATGAGGCTCAACCCCTTGAAATGTGCCTTCGGGGTGGCTTCCGGCAAGTTCTTAGGATACATGGTTAACCAGCGAGGAATTGAAGCAAATCCCGAAAAAATTGAGGCTCTGTGCCAGATGAGGTCCCCCCAAAAGCCAAAGGAGGTGCAAAGCTTAACTGGGCGAGGGGCAGCACTTAGTCGCTTCGTCTCTAAAGCAACTGACAAGTGCCTCCCATTTTTCAAAGTGCTCAAGGCTGGGAAGAAATTCCAATGGACTGAGGAATGCGAAGAGGCCTTCCAAGGATTAAAAAGGCACTTGGGGCAGGCCCCCCTCCTCTCCAAGTCGAAGCCCGGCGATATCTTGCAACTATACCTCGCGGTCTCCAATGACGCCATCAGTTCGATTTTGATTCGGGAAGAAGGGTCCACCCAACTTCCCGTCTACTACACGAGTAAAGCACTCCTATCGCCGGAGACCCGATACCCCGATATGGAGAAGCTTGCTTTGGCCTTAATCACGGCCTCTAGGAAATTGAGACCTTACTTCCAAGCTCATATCATCCATGTACTTACAAATTTTCCCCTGAAGCAAGTACTCCAGAAGCCCGATGCATCGGGAAGATTGTTGAAATGGGCAGTGGAACTAAGCGAATTTGACCTTGTGTTCAAAACAAGGGCGGCCATCAAAGGGCAAGCGTTAGCAGACTTTGTTGCTGAATTCACCAACCTGCCCGAGGTGGATGAAATCATGGAGCCCGTCGAACTCCCCACGTGGAGCCTCTTCGTAGATGGCTCGGCTGGGGATGTCGGCTCAGGTGCCGGGGTTGTCCTCGTCAGCCCCGAGGGTCACAAACTCACCTCGGCTGT